AGAACGGCGCGGCCGGCGGGCTTGCGGCAACCACATGTGATGACCCCGGGCTGGACTCCTCTTCGTCCAAGTTGAAAGCCGATGCGGCGATCCACAGCGCAAAGTTGATGTATTTCCTCAGCGACCAGCACGGATCAGCTCTAGGCATGACGAAGCGGATATCGTCCTCTTTTGGAAGACCAAACAAAGTAGTTTCGCTTTCACAACGAAGCACACAGCGTCTTCAGGACATGGCGGAAAGCAGCAACAATACTACAGTGAGAATAAAAGTTATGCCTTCTTTCTTTGCGTGAACATTTGGGCGGCGTTATGCAAATCTTCCCACATAGTGATGTAGATATGTGGGGGCGTGTTAGAACGAGCCGTTTTAGGTAGGTGTGGCTGACTCTTAACTTTTATAAAGAATATCTCTTTGGATTTGAGACTTTAGTCTTTGCAACTTTACAGATCTTCTTTATGCACCAAGAGCTTGTAACACTCCAAAGAGAAAGGAAAAATTGAAATCGCATCATATGACCCCTTTAAATTACACATTTTTACAATTTGAAGAATCTGTCATATTGGTGGACCATACATTTGAATTTTTACATTGAATAGTCATCTCCTAAATGACTATGGTGCTTATGACCCTCATATTCTCTCAGTATACAGTTGCTCTGAGCTTGTCTCCAGATGATTTATATCATCAGTACTTCAGTCAGATGAGATACTCACAGGTTTGGTTGTGTTGTCACCAATCATACAGGCATCAACATAGTGCGGATATGGTTCAGACCAACCGAACTCCGTACAGTTTCTGCTGATCTTGCCGAGCCCTGAAAATCAGCCAGGCAACAAGCAGAACAACGATAAATCAAACATGTTTCCTGCTTTAAACATACTGTAAGCAGCTGCTGCAATATGCTGCTGTCAGCAGAACCGCAAGAACAAAAGAGTACATTCATCACATGTACAGTTATAATGACTCATGATCTCATGTAAAGCCTAACGTTTAGTGTTTCTTTGAGATCTCAGGCTGATCTTACGCCTGCTTCAACAGTGTTGCTGTTAAACCTGAACTAAACCAGCAAATAGAACCAAAACCTTCAAAAAATTAACTTGAAAAAACATTTTTATTACACAGCAAAACCATGTTTTTTTGGAGATGTTTCATGGTCGAACACAGAGATTCTACTGTATGTTTATATATGAGTGATTTCTAAAGGATCATGTGACACTGAAGACTGGAGTAATGATTCTGAAAATCCAGCTTTTTCCCCTCACAGGATTGTTAATTAAAATAAATTATAATAAATAAATATACTAAATAACATATTAATAAATATATTAAAATAAAGTTATTTAAATTGTACATTTTAAATGCAAAAACATCCCTATATATATATATATATATATATATATATATATATATTCTTTCATTGTATTTCAAATAAGCAAACACAAATAAATAAATAAATAATATAAATGTAATAAATAATAAGGTCCCAATAAGGCCCCATTACTGCATTAACTAACATTAATTAACAACGAGGAATACATTTGTTACAATACTTATTGATCTTTGTTAACGTTAGTAACGTTAACGTTAGTTAAAAATAGAATTGTTAGGTAATGTTAGCTCAGGTCCACTAGATAATATTAACAGATACAAACCTTTGATTTCAGTAATGTATTAGTAAATGTTCAAATTAACATTAACAAAGATGAATAAATGCTCTAGAAGTATTTGTCATTGTTAGTTCATGCTATTGCTAAATAATGTGAAGTAATATTAACAAATGGAATCTTACTGTAAAGTGTAATCAATACTTTCATTTATATTACTATAATTAGTTATATTAATATATTTAATTATATTACTATTATAATTTATATTAGCAGCAATGCATTAAAAATGTCAGCGTGCAATGTCTCTCACCTTCCTCTGGACTCATGAACTCGAAGAGCTCGGGACAGTTGACCTCCACGACCTTGCCGACACTGGTCGCCTGCCAGCAGGTCAGATTGTCCCACTCCCACGGACACTCTGAAAACAACACCACCAAACTCACATTAGTACACCTCACATCTCACAGCAGCTAGTTAGGTTTGTCTTGCTGGGACTATTACAGAGATTTGAGGCCTGTTTGTTTCAGACAGTTACTATGCTATTATTTGAACTTCCTTAGAGTGCCAAGTAAATAGCATGGCATAGAATTAAAACAATAATTCAAAAGCATATATAATAGATATTGAAATATCATGGTATTGCCATCTGAAACAGTACCTGTGCCACAACATAACTTCATACAATGGAACAGCACCGATATAATATCCTCTTTTGCATATAAAACAAAATCTCATAAAGCCAAATTACATCTGGACTCGTGACACTATAAAAGATGTCTCCATTTAATTCTCAATTATACTAAGATTAGCCCGCGAGAGGACACCAAGGTGAGCGTGACTGTGACCAGCAGGGGGTGTCAGCAGCGGTTCCTGCCCGAGGACTTCAACATGATCAATAGGTGATATGGATCAAAATCCATCACTTTCACAATTGCATTTGACTCCTCGTTTCCCTCAGCTCATTACAGAAATGATTCTGGAATTAATTACAGAAATGACTCTCACTCAATCTGGTGGCAACCAGCAAAATGATGCAAAAGATGAATAAAAGAATGTGGAGATACCTGATAGTGTCAGAACATCAACAACAGATTTTGGAATGAATTGTGGGCAGATTTAGAGTTCAGATGTGTCTATTTCTGACCATCATAACTGTCAGATACATTCATCTATTCTTCTGTAAACAGTTTAGTTTTACTGATAATAAAAATCAAGAATGAAACAATTCTATTTCAACTGTAGACAGCAAATGGAAGCTTCAGAGTTTTAGAAGAAATATTATTGTCTTCAACTATGCTCAGAGACTAAAGTCCAGGATCTGACCACATTAAAAACAAATAAATAAATACTACATAGATTCAATAAATCATTCTGTAAATAAATAAATAAATAAATAAATAACATAGTCTCAATATGAACACTGTAAATAAATAAATAAATATTATCAAGTCTCTCCTCTTTCTCTACACTCTCGTAGATGGACGTTTCCAAACTTATCCTTTCCAATCATCCTACTACTTGTCCACTTGATCCTATCCCCACTCACCTCCTTCAGGCCATTTCTTCTTCAGTCAT